GTAACTCTTCTAGCTTTGAAATTCAATTTCGCATCATCTTTCTATACTCTTGCTTTCAGTAACAAGTTTTATTCTTGGAACGGACAGATTTTCTTTATATATCAGTCTTTTGTAGACATATCTGTCACTCATTGTTGTGGTTTCATTATAGTTCATATTTTCTGTCATTGATTCGAGGTTTTAGATTTATACTTCGACAATGCATTTAGTCTAGATGCATTGAACAGTAATAAAGTTGTTATGAATCTCTATTAATTACAAAAATGGTCTTTAGTTGTAGAAAGAAAATTTTATTTTATTTTGAAAACTAAAAGACTAAAGAATTAAAAAATGTTTTATCAATAAATAGAATAGAAGTTAATACTGAAGTATTGAATTTTTAAAACGTGATATTAACATTAAATCAAAGAATTTTATTAATTATCATTCCTCTATAGCATAAACAAAAAGAAGTGAATTTGCTTTAGCTTTGTGTTTTAATATCAAGTGACTTCGTGCAATTATTTAACATACAACGGAAAAATTCTTCGTTTGCTTTGTTTTTGCTACTAGCCATATCAAATAATTTATTCGTTGGCATATAACACTAATAAGAAAGCATAAAATTCGTTGTGTCTTGTAACTTATTAGTGTTAAAGAACGAATAAATATCAAAAACACATAGTATGTTAGAAAAAACGATGGAATTTTTAAAATTCAAATGTACAGTGTTAGTTTTCAGTGAGTTAAACAAATATCAATAATTTTCTGTTCTTAAAATGATATGTTCTATTCAATACAGAAAAAAGGAAATATATTTTTATTGAACTTTTCGCCTCTTCCATGACCTCGTATTGTCTTACTATTTGTTTTTTTATTTATGATTAATGTGATCAAATTTTTTTTCTGTACTTATTTCTCCATTTTCTTGCTTATTATACGCTTTGAACACGTAAAAAAAATATAAAAATTAGTGATTAATAAACTGGATTCGACACGATAATACAGTGCTCAAATTCAACAATAAGGCTAAAAAACAAAAAAAAAAGGATGAAGTTGAGAGTTGATCCACTGTCTTTGGTTTCTTAAGGCAATAATATAACAGTAATTTCCTGTCGGGATCCCGATATTTGTTGTGGGATCTCGCAGGATTCCGACGGGAAATTGCCGGGATAAAAGACATGGGTATTCACGTACAACATTATTTTATCGAATCAAAATCTTCATTTCAATAAAGAAGTTGAAGAATTAGTAGAGCGTTAGTATGAGATCAATCAGTATAAAAATAATACGAAGAATGCTATTGTTAGATTTTTATTAAAAATCATATTTATTTATTCATGCTTTCCGACAAGTTACACTTGTCATTGTCAGAAATAACATTACAAGACAAAAAGAAAAGAAGAAAAACTCTCTATCTATATATACGATATATAATAAAACAACAAATAAGTTAATTAAAATTGAAAAATTATAATTTTCTAGTAATTAACTTATTTGTTCTATTATTAAATTTTGTATATTTATATAAGAAATTTTTCTTTTTGTTCTATATATTATTATTTCTAACAATGACAGATGTAACTTGTCAAAAGCATGAATAAATAAATATGATTTTTAATAAAAATCTAATAATATTTGTCTTATCAGTTTAATATTTATGAATGTTCATTTCTATTGCAACAGACTGAACATATTCAAACAAATCGACTGCATTTAGTTAATATAGAAAGTAGATTGCAAAATAAATGCTCAAATATTGCTAGCATTTATTGATATTTCAAATGAAAATAAAAAGTCTTTAGACTTAAATTGAAAGTTAAAAAGAAAAAATTAGTATAAATATTCAAAATATTTTCTCATTTCTTGCATTGCAAAAATTCTCACAGCAAAGATTATTGCTTCTGACATTGTTGGAATATTACTTGCCTGATTAATGACAAATGTTCTCAGTGCAGTTCTAAATGGCGTCAACATATGGAACTCACAGATTTCATTCAACTTCATTATAGTAATACGATACACGTAAAATGAATAATTCCTAATAGATGATAATGGCTCTTTATGAATGGTCAACTATCAGAGAAATATTTAACTACTAGTTCACCTTGTCATATACATACATTTGTCGATGCGTATATCAGAGCAAGAAAACTAAATGTAACTTCAAAGAACTTAGACTATTCCATGTACATAATGAAGCATGTTACAGATGAATCTGAATCGATAATAAAAGAATGAAATAAAGATAATAACGATGACAAAAGTTCAATAATAACGCACCTTAGCGCATTTCAAAATCAAAATTGAAGATATTTATCATTATATTTGAAATGCATACCTGAAAACTTAACTTTAATGAAATGTTCAATTCTGATTCCTATTTTAGTCGCAAAACCAATATCGAATCTATCATCTTTTATTGACAAACTATGGAAAACTTAACGAATAAAAATTAAATACAGAATCATAGTTATTCTAATTAAACTTTCATATACGAATCGGACATGACATAAAACATCATCATAATTTAATTTGGACCTGTTAATCGAAAATATAGATCCTACAGAGTAAGTGTTTTCTCTACCTGCACCTTGTCTGAGAAAATTTTTTTAACCCTTATCCTACCCTCTAACCTGCAGAGCAGGATAACTCTGAATGTCTCTAATCGAGAGTTTCTAAATTTAATATTAGATTCAAAGTCAAAATTGAATTTTGACTTGAGTGTTTTGCGCGGTTTGTTTCAATTTAACAAGAGTAAAAACCGTACTTCAGAATTACGCTCTTCCCCCTTTTCAATTCAGACATGTATAATTTCGAATCTAGTATTTGTCCAAACTAATCCAATGTTGTGCATGGATATATGAAACAATAAGATTCTTCTCCAGATCGATGACATTCTCTATCACACTAATTGGTCTAATTGGCTGAACATATAAAAACACATGAGTGCTACTGACCTAGAGAAATATCCAGTTTGTTTTAGCTTGTATTATGTGATCTCCGAATGGCTCACAATATCATCGAGTGACATCTATCATTTCTTTATTTTGGCATGTTATTATTATAGTCCAATGCAATAAAAGTGCTACAATCTTTTCCATATTGAACTCGATGCAAGCAGCGCATCGTTTCAAAAATAGACTCCTGCTGTTATATGTGTATGCGTCGTCTATCGTTTTTATTATTCTTCCGGGAAGCAGAAGTGTGTTAGTGCGTCTTCTTTTTCTTTTTTTATTCTCGTTCTTTCTCTTCTCATATACAGATTGCAATCAATCTTGTGTTCTGTTCATTAGTTGCTTTCTTCTTCTGCAAATTAAAAAAATAGAAAATAAAATACACGTAAATAGCTCATGACTGAATATAAGCTCGTCGTCGTCGGTGGTAAGTATATTTAATAAACAAACAAAAACAAGAAAAAAAACATGCTTATTTTTTTTCTTTCTGCCAAAATAGCTGGCGGCGTGGGCAAAAGTGCATTGACAATTCAACTAATTCAAAATCAGTATGTATATTTTCGATATATATATATAAATAATTATTTATTCTATTTAATAGTTTTATTGATGAATATGATCCAACAATTGGTATAAAATTTATTTCTATTCAATATATTATATTTATTTATTTTTTATATATATTCAGAGGATTCATATCGAAAACAAGCTGTTGTCGATGGTGAAACATGTTTACTTGATATACTTGTATGTAGAATTTTTTTTTTTTTTTGAAATTAATTTTCTTATTTGTATTTATAGGATACAGCTGGTCAAGAAGAATACAGGTTTAAATGTGTATTAAAAATTTTTGTAATTTATTTTATTCAAAATTTTAGTGCTATGCGTGATCAATACATGCGTGGTGGTGAAGGTTTTCTATGTGTATTTGCTGTTAATAGTGCAAAATCATTTGAAGAAATAAAACAATATCGTGAACAGGTAAAAATTTCTTGTTTGAAATAAAAATTAAAAAAAAAATTAAGAAGAATAAATTTTAATTTAGTTTAAATTTTAATTTGAAATTATTTTTTTCTTCTATTTATTTAGATAAAACGTGTAAAAGATGCTGATGATATTCCAATGGTTTGTAAGTATATAAATAAAATATATAATTTATTAATTTTAATGAAATTTAAAACAAAAAAATTCTAGTGGTAGGAAATAAAATTGATTTACCAACACGTACAATTGATTTATCCTATGCAAAAGATTTTGCAGCATCATTATCGATGCCATTCGTACAAACATCAGCTAAAACTCGACAAGGCGTTGAAGAAGCATTTTATACACTTGTTCGAGAAATAAGAAGATATGTAAATAAAAATTATTCTTTTTTTGTTATTAAAAAAAGAATAATTTAATTTCTTTTGTTTTCGTCTTTCAGAAGGAACGTACACGTAAAGATCGTAAAGGTCGAAAGAATAAAAATGGTGGTAATGGTACAAGTGGTAGTGGAAGTAAATTTTCATTAAAAGATGGTCGAAGTCAAAGTGCAAAACGTAGTAGAAAACGAATTTGTGTGCTCATGTAGAACATTATTTTAAGTCATATTTAGCAATATTTAAAAGTCATTTTTTTGTGTTCTCTCTCTAATTCATATACAAAATGACGGGTTTTTTTTTGTTCTTTTCTTGCTTGGTATCCCTTTTGTTCTCCCTCAATGTCAGATATTTGTTGTGTGTTTCCGAGAAACAATTTTTTTTTTGGTTGTGTGTGGTGTTGTGCTTTATATCTTCGATGTTTCCTAGTCAAACAAATATACGTGTCTCATAGTTGTGATGCGATAACACAACTTTTTTTTCTCTCTTTTAGCTCTGCTTTGAAACGTGTTGTTTCTTCTTTTATTATTGTGTGTGCAGTAGTTTTTTTTTTTCTTTTTTGGAAATCTGAAGAATGAATTATCTTTTTTTGTTCTTTCTTTTCTATACAAAGAAATATTTCGGTTTTAATTTTCTTTTTTGTTTCAGAAAATATTTTTTTTACGTGAATGTAAATACAAGAAAAATAATATTCATTACAAACATGCAGACAACAGAAACAGTTACAACATCAAATATTGAATTAAACGAAAAGAAAGATAATGGATTAGTAGTAAATAAAGAAAAAAAACGATCGGTAAGATTTAAGAAAATCGAAATTTTAAAACAAATCTTAGTTTGAATAAATCGAATTTGGATTTAATTGAACGTAATAATTTATATAATTGAGTCAATTAAATTTGTTTTTTAATATCAATTAAATCAAATCTTTATATTATAGATTTGATTGGTGCATTTTTGATGCTTTCGAAGTATGAACAATAGACATAATCAAAGATTTTTTGATAGTCATAAACGTTAATCGAATCAACAAAACAAGGGATGTCCTAGAACAAATAGATTTCTTAGTATTTTATCATTATCGCCGTCAATGTCTATTACTTCGGTTTTGAATTTGCGATTAAAATATTCTTCGTTCAATTCTTTATAAAAACATATAAAAAATTTTAGTATCAAAAAAGAAAAAACAACAAACTAACAGTACTGAAGACTATATATATTGTCAAAGTGACAAATTTAGTACCAACATTTACTTTCAATAGTTAATTCTTTTTTCTTTCTGACAAGACATACGTTGTTTAGAAAGGTTCGTCTCAGTTTTCAAGTGCACATTTTTCTTTTTGTAAAGCAAACTGATGCATACATTTCGAACAGAACAATGCGATACTATTGAAATTTTGTTTTTATGAAACTTAACTTTCATACCAGTATGTTGTGTTGACTTGGTAAACAAATAATTTATACTCATAATAATGAAAATATTTGAACACAAAAAAAAAATAGAGTGATGCGAATAGTTTTCTTTTTATTTTTGATACAGAAATCTTTGAAATGTCTACATAAGAAAAAAAAGCCTGATTGCACGCCAATCAAGGCGTGTAAATGAAATTTGATTATATATTCAGAAAGAGCTTTTCAAGAGCTTTTGAATGGATGATTAATTTTGTTTGTATCTTGCATGTCTAACGGCTAAGAGAATAGGAAAAAAAAAGCGAGAAAATAATATTACGAAATATATTATGTGAGTGTCATATAGTCTATGTTTGATTGTTAATTTTTATTTTTGATATGTTTTAACAAGGAAACTTTTAAGAAAAGATTTATATTAAAATAATGAACATTGACGGAGATATTGATAAAATACTCAAAGGTACATTTATTCTAGGATACCTATGATATTAGTTTATGCAATTAATAAAATATAATATTTACACTGTTAGAAGTATCGATATAGAAATGCAGTTGACTTCAATGTAAATCTCTCATGTTGATTAGATATACATTCGATAGTATAATAAAAATGAATGATTCTGAATGCTTTTGAGAAATGTTATATTAATACAAATTCTAAAAGTTTATGTCCTGATTTCATAACTTTGCTCGGATATGATTAGAATAAATGAATTTTCTTTTTTTTTTTTGTCAAATATTCAAGTGTTATAGAACGATAATTTATAAAAAGATAATCACGGTTGCTAATTTCTGTTAATTTACATTTTTTTTTCATACCTTCAATTTTCATGATAATTAAACTATGATTCTTTTTTTTTTAGCGTTTTCGAAGCCCGGTCAGGTAAGATGAATATAACGTTTATCGATAGTAATCCAGACAAAGCAATAATAAATAACTTCTATCTTTATTTTGATTAGATCAGTATATTACTTTACTAGATAAAAAAGTATTTCATCAATTTTATCTGCTCATTTATAGTCATATTGATGCTAATATTTTCCTTTTTTATGTAGCCGAAATTAGATGTATATATATGTATATTATTCTTTAGAAATTTTTTAAAGTCAAAAAATGATGATGAGAAACCACCACCTTATTATCGACTTAATGAAGAAAATCAATATTCTGATTTACAAGTAGATTTTGATTCATTAATGTAGGACAAGAAAAACTTTTAAATCCAATTTTATTTTAGTTTCAAGAGCCAGAGGTCAAAGCACCTGTTTACGCTATTGTTTTAGCTATTGCTCTCTTTCTTATCGGTTCTGTGATGATTATATTAGGTGCGTTAATGTTAACTCGTCGCATAGAAACACAAGTTTGTATTTATCTTTTCAATACGGTAAAAAATGATTGCTTGTTTGGTTTATTTATTTTAGTATAGCGATCGTACATGGCCATTAATACTTGTAGGAACATTGATTTTTCTACCAGGTTTTTATCATTTACGTATTGCTTATTGGGCATGGAAGGGAGATCAAAATTTCTCATTTGCTGATATACCTGATCTTGATTGGTTCTGAACAGAAGCTTATTGATACGTTGTACATTTATTTTTTTTCTCATATTTATCTTTTTTTTTTTGATGACAAAAAAAACATAAATATTTGTTTAATTATTCGATATTCCATGTGATTCATTGATCGATTAAGTTTCTTTTTTTTCAAATGCATTAAATCAATATGTACTCGTATAAATTTCTTCAACGATTATTCGGAAAACATATCTTACCGAAGAAAAAAAAAGTAATTGTTCATGATAAAAATTGATTTCTCGTTTGTAAAGAATTTCATTTACATGATGAAATTCTCGGAAGTCTGAAAATCTTCTTCGAAATATTGTCTAAAATTGAAAATTCTTTTAGAGATTTCTAGAATCTATTGTGAAATCTTTTGATTAACTATTTGATTTCGGTATACAATAGTTTAACTGAATCAATATCAATCGTTCAATCGGATCGTAAATTCGATTCTCATAAACTCAATTGTCAAATATTTTATTTGAATACATGACTTTCGAGTCCTTGAGAATTATCAATGCAATGATAACTAAGTAAATGATAAGCATACAACAGTCTATGGATTCTCAAAACAAAATAGATAATACGAATGATCTCGTAAACATTTAAAATGAAATACGATATTATAGAAAAAAAAAAATTAATAATTTTATCTTCGTAATTTATTTTATATTTTAACATACGTTATAGTAAATCTAATTGACGTTAAGTAATATGATATTGTTGTGTTTTATAAAACGTTAAAAATTAGATATTGAAATATTATCATAAATTTCCAAGAACTTAATCGGATTTTTTCAATCTAATACCTTTTTTCATAATCTGAGAGAATTACAAAATTTTTCTCCTTTTTTTTTTGCACGATTACCATTCGTCAATATCCACTTGAGTTTTTGAAAAAATTTGAGACATCTACAATATTTTTCACTCTGTTATTTTCCAGAATATATTGCTTAAAATTTACGATGTCATCAGTGATGTCACAAGGACAAACGTTTTTTTTTCTTCTGCTAAATCCCATCTTCCTTCAACATACATCCAAAGCGTTACCTCTCTCCTGTTACCCTTGTCGATAAAGAAGAAAGAAAAAATGTGTGTCGGCATTCTTTTTTTTCCACCCTTCTTCCTAGGGCTGTATATAAACTAAGAGCATGATGGTGTATGATGAAACAAAACAAAAATAAAGAATAATTTTTGCTACTATTTCAGATTGCTTGAACAATGTGTATGAAAACGACTTGTGAAAAATGTGCCAAACCAACATGGAAAGGCTGTGGTCAACATATTGAAGAAGCATTAAAAGATGTTTCGGTTGCAGATCGATGTCAATGTCCAAGAGATTCTCAATGTCCAAGAGATTCATCAACAAAACCTAGCGATTCAAAAGTATCAACAAAATAAACTGATCAAAAATGAAGAAAAAAAACGACTTCTAAGTGTGTTCCATTCATTTGTTTTTTAATATCCGTTTTTTTTCTCTTTATGTCAATAAACAACTAGCAAAATAAATAAATATTTATTTATTAAATATTTTTACAAAAGTCAATTGTTTATTGAAAAATTATAAATGAAAAGCTAGTAGATTTTAATGCAGATCATTCAGTACTATTCCATATTTATCAAATAGCATGATCTATGTTTTTTTTAAAATACACAAATGCAAACATGCAGACAGAACACATTACTTATATTTTAAACTTTTTCATGTAGAAAGTTTTCAGAGAAAAATATTTGAATAAAAGATTAGATGACGAAGTATTTTAAAATATGCATCAATCTATAACGGTAAATTACTTTCAAATAGTTTTTAAAAGAATATATGTTAGACGTTTAAGTTCCATTGTTTATAAATGACTCCCTCATTAAACAATTATTTTATTAGTCAAAAAAGAACAAGATTAATTTGATCTATATTCTACTTCATTATCATCAATATTAACGTAATTATTAATTGTTTCAGAGATATGTATTTTTGTGTTTGGATATTTTTCAATCATCGTTATTATTTAATAAACAAGAGTAACTTTTTTTTTTAAATACTTCAGCAGTCATCCATGAGATTGCGTACTGTTTCAATGCTTTCTACTTTTCAAATTAATGTAACAACCATATGTCATGTCATATTTACAGACGAGAGTTCGTTAGCAGTCATAAACTATCAATTAGACTTACGATCGTTGTTTTTTTATTTACTAATAATAGATTGAAATATAAAGAGTCATTATCTAATTAGAGCTCGATCTTAATAATTGTATCTCTATATATATTAAAATTTTTGATTATTTTTTTAATAAAAACTCTTTCGATCTCTACTGACATCTGTGTTTCATCGGAGTATTATCACGCGGAAGAAACAGCCATACAGAGTATTACTCATACTGTTATGTTATCACAGCTGTTTTTTTCCTTTAAAACTCGAACTCTTCTTTATTCTTTTCTTTTGTCTTTTTTATTTTGTTAATATTAGCTTTTGTTTAAAAATGGGCAATATATGTTCATGGTGTTTTAAAACTGAAAATGATTCACAATTGAATAGTAATGTTGATGATCATTCAGAGATAACTAACTCACAACGTCTAGTATCTGCGTCAAAAGTTAATGATCGAACACCGTATGTTATTTTGTTTTGTTTTTTATTGTTTAAGACCTCTGTCTTTTTTCTTTCAAATAGACTTTTAGGTAAATCAGGCAATCATAATAACCATTCAGTGACGACATCAGGTTTTGATAATTCACAATCAAATGGTGAAATATTACCAGCAACACAACTTCCACCACCACCCATAATTAATGAAGGTGGAACAGAAACTAAAACAGGTATGAATAAGATGAAAATTTAGAATTTAAATTCTTTTATTTTTTATTTTTTTTTTTCGTATAAAATTTTCAGTAAATGAAACAGCTGAAAGTAAAATGGCATTTATTGTTGAACGTATGTTATCGACATTAATTGATGTTAGTAATAGTGAATCTAATATTCATCAAACAAATAGAAATACAAATGAATTAAATACAGAAAATGATTATTTAAGACAATTATTAACAAAATCATTATCATCAACAAAAATATTAGCAATACCAGATGTTGGTTTAAATAATCTCCCATCATTACTTTCTGGACGACCAATATCATCTGATATATGTCGTTGTGTAGCACATACAGCCGGTGAATTATCAAATTTATTAATTAATGAAATAAAAATAATACATAAAGAACAACTTGTTGTCGTCTTTGAATAAGAACTGATATATATATATATATATATTATGTATGATTGTTATTCATTTTTTTTAAATGCTGATTTTCTTTTTATTCATGTATTGATAGAATTTTAAAAAAAAACATCTACACACACACACACACATATCTAATATTGTGATAAGTCAATTTTTTTCTCTAGATTAAACAAATATGACAGATGAAAACAATATGATGAAATTAGCAGTAAGTTTTGATTTGTTATAATATAATAGAAATTTTAATTTCGATATTTATCAGAATAAAAACAATGAACCAGAAAAGGTGATTAGAAAAAACAAAACAAAATTTTGTTGAAATATATTTATTTAATATCTTTTTTATTTGTTTTTAAAGATTGAATCAGATATTGAAGAGGATGATAATGATTATGCAGATGATAAAAGTAATGCTACAACTACGGATGATGAATTCTATAATGAACTTATGAATGCACCATCCGAATGTGAAGATCATTTAAGTGCGGAAGAAAAAAAAAGGGATTGAAAAAATATGTTTATATTCGTGTTTTTTTTTTTTAATTTTATAGTTCCTAATGAATGTAAAGATGAAATAACTGCTATTGAACATTTAACATCGTGTCTTAATCGTCGATATAATTCATGTCCAGTAGTTTTTACTGGTACACTTAAAGATGCTTTAAACGAAGCTTTTAATTCGAAAGAAATTAAAGAAGTAAAAGTCTTATTTGTTATTTTATTTTTCTTTTGTATTTTATTTACTTTGTGGCTTCTAGCGACGACCACTTCTTATCTATGTGAATAATGATAAAAGTCTTTATTCAAATCTATTTTGTAAACAATTATTATGTAATGATAAAATTATTGAATATTTATTAAATAATTATGTTCTTTGGGCATGGGATGTTACATTTCCATCAAATGGAGAAAAGTAAGAAGATATTTTCACTTTTGTTTTTTTTTTCTTTCTTTCTTCAAAGTTTCTCGCGAGAATTAATTAAATTTTTGTTATCACTAATAATCAAGCCAGTCGGATTCTCCTTTTTTTTGGTAATAGTTGAAAAATACAACTTATTATGTCAGTCTCATATGATTTTAATGCGTCATTAACTCAATCACAAGTTTATATTTGCTTTTTATTTTTATTACCTTTGATGATAGATATATATACTTATACAAGTATTCAGGTGTATACCTTTTTGTTAATATGTAATACAAAAAACAAACCTACTCATGAAGATACGAATTATTTTTGTGTGATAAAAAATCATTTTATTTTTTATGTTATCATATTCATGACAAAGAGAAAACATTTGTCATTCGAAATACATAATAAATAATATCGATCAATATTCATGAAAAGAAAAAAATTCGTTAATAAAATATCATATTGAAAACTTATGTTAATTGAGTTCAAAACGTCTAATATATACTAATAAATCTAATAGCAGCATTTCGACGTGAAATTTTGTTTATAGACAAACCTACTTGTAAAACCGAATGCTTTGAAAATTTCAATTCAAAAGAATGTTTTACCTTCATGTGATATTAAAGTCCAAAAAAACATTTATATTCTATACAAGATACGACAATTTGATGTTTTTTTTTTGAAACTTAAATATTATGTGATGATAAAACTTTTTTGAGTTGAAATTTTTAGAGCATTCTATTTACAAATGAGCTTGTACATAAACAAAATTTCAGATAAAAATATCGTTATTATATTTATTGGTATATATTATGCCATAAGGGCACTTATTGTTTCGGTGTTTTTTTAATATATCCCAGGGGTCTACTTTATTCGGAGAGTCCCGAACTCGAAAGCCATTCATCACTTGATACGATTCCCTTGTAAATAAATAGTGGCTGATGCATAAAGAATGAAACATTTTTGTTCTGTCGTTTTTTTAACAGCTTTAGAAAGTTTCTAAAAATAATTAGTTTCAGAGAAAAAAAAAGTCTTATCGAACAGTATGTCAATCACAAATCTTAATCTGTAAATAAAAATGTACTACAAGACTAATTCTATTATTCAGCAGATGTATTAAAAGAATATTCAAAAATAAATGTTAATAGAAATCTTAGTTTTTGAAAAAAAATAAAGAATTTAATGTACTTTATTTACAATATGATGCACATTGTGTACACAGATGCAATCGATCACAAAAAAACAAAATCTTGAAAAGGATACTATAAAGTGAAGTACCAATTTTTGTATCCCATCACGTTTATTTACTTTTTTTTTCATTTGAAGATACAATATTTTTAAGCCAAGAGGTTTCTACGATTGCAGAACTGAAAATGCTCTACCTTTTTGTTGTCTAAGAATGATATTTTCAAGAAATTTCTTAGAATTCATAGAAAGACAGAACTGAAGTGCCTTATTCTTTGTATGCCATCTGTTAGGCAATGTTTTAAATATTACTAAGGTGCGCGTAATTCAAAATTAAAAAAAAAAGTTTTTTTCACGACATGGATGAAAAGAGCACGTTAACTTGTCTAGGAAAAGTTAGTTTCCAAAATTTCTAAAAACGAATATATCATTGAAAAAAAGTGACTAGTTTTCATATATGAGTGAATATCTTTTTTTTATTCGTTCTGTAGAAGGCTTTTAAAGATTATTTCGAGATTCTTCTTTGAATAATCATTTACGACTAAAGGCAATAATAAGAAACGAAAACAATAACTTGATCGATGAGAAACTTTTATTGAACAAGTTTTTAATAGTTCACTAGTCAGTTATATATTACTCATAGTTTCTTCTACATTCAATGAATATAAATAAATAGATATCAAGGAAATAATCTCTTTTTTGAAGTCTGTCGGAAATAGAATTATTCGGTATGCGTCTTTTGTCAATATTTACATTTTAATCTATGACTTCTTTTACAATTAATTTTGATTTTTGTCTTATAAAACTTGAAGTATTGATTGATATCTCTTTTTAATTTTTAAAAGGTTGAATGAAATATTTAAAACAACATTTTCACAATGGAAAATTGGATATTCTCTTGGTACATGTACAAATGAACAATATCCATTTTTAATCGGTATTCGTCGTAGTACAAATGGTGATTATTTATTTGATCGTCTTATTGATGGTTCAAATAAGAGACCAGTTATAGATGAATTTTTTGCACATTTAATGGAATATAAAGATCGTTTTGATTTTAGTGAAGAACAGTTCGAAAGAGAAAAAGTAAATTGATTATTATTATTTTTTTATTTATAATAAATAAATGTATTTAATAATTAATATTATTTAAATAGGAACGATGCAATCAAAATATAATAGATAAATGCTTTCAAACTCACGATTTTCATCATCCATCAAGATATCATGATAATCCTCATATTTATCCATCAACAACAATGTTTCCATCGATAAATTTCGATGGAAATAATCCACACTATCCAAGATTTTTAAATAATCATTCTCATAGATCTGTTTTGCATAATAATAATGATAATTTACCAGATATATTTCGACAATTACATATACATTCTAATAACAATGATGATTATGATGATAATGATGATGATGATGATGAACAAACACCGACTATTAATCGTCCATTACCAAAATTTCCTGAATGATCAATTCGAATGATATTTAACTGTGATCATGTATATGTTTATATTCTTATTCGTTTTTTTTTCTTTCACTATAAAAAAAAAAACAAACTACTTTTGTGATTACTAATAAATATAACTTTATTTTAGATTTTTTCTTTAATATGAGTGACGAATCACGTGAACAAATCTTATCTGATTTTCAAGTAAATTTTAAAATTTTCTTTTGTATAGATAGAAAATTTCTTGATTCTTTTTTTATTATATAGAATTGCACAGGTTTAGAACATTTGGACGAATGTATTCATATTCTACAACAATATGAGTGGAATTTAATGGTAAAAATAAAAGAATTCTTTGTTTTTTTTTTATTATTATTATACATATGTTAATAATAGGAGGCTGTTCAAGCTGTTCATGATCGAATTGGGATTGGCAATGATAATGAATCAACAGTACCAGTACAAGAAATAACGAATAGAGATACATCATCAATAATAACAAATACAACGAATCAAAATGTTAATAATAATAAACGACAATCAGATCCGAATGAAATTGATGATTCAGATCAACCAAGAATTATTAAAACTATACCTGGTAGTCAACGAACATCTAAAGGAGCAAGTTCTATAACAAATGTTGGGCTAGGTTAGCATGTTCATAGATTTCTTTTTTACTTTGCTTATCGATAATCGATTTCATGTTTTGAAAACATAAAGGAAATGAAAAGTTTGTAGAATTATATTTAGTTGCACTTGAATGATACTAATATACAATATCATATGTAATAAAGCATATAAACGCTTATTATTTACTTGGCATATGTGCAAACTCTTGCAAATTTCTTTTTCATGTAATAACTTCAATCATTAATCAAATTGTTTTGATGACATGCAATTTCATAGTTTTATATAAAAATAGTCACTCTAAATTGTGAATCATATTTGTTGAACATGTTGTAGAAAATCAAGGGTAGGATATTTAAAGACTTCAAAAGCTGCAAGAAATTAACGTAACATATTCAATAAGTTTAGTAATATTGTTATATGCGTTCTATATATATTCTATATGATTCAAAGAGATCGATATAATATGCGCCATACCGACGGCATTCGTCGCTAGTTCGATAATTTGACTATCTTCTGACTGTCATGTTACCACGGTATACCAATAGTTGTTCTCCGACTAGTAATTTACTGTCGATATATCGATGGTAATGCGAACAAACATGCAACATGGTATATATATATATATATATCTATTAAGATTATTCTTTATGAAGAAATAAAAGAAGATTCGATTGTTTAGTGAATGATGATATTTGATTAGAAAAAGAATTTTGAAATAATTTATTTAACTTTCTTTTTTTTTTGTGTTATAGTTCGTGATTTAAATTTTACAGTTGAATATTGTGATCAAACAGAAAAAATAAGCACATTTGATAG